ATTATGAAATATGTGAAATATGCAATGATATTTTGTAAAATTATAAAAGAAGCATTACGACATATTTCTAGACTATTATCTTATTCCCAACCATTATATAAAGCTAAGAAACTAAGATCAATAACAAATTAGTAAATGACAATTTACTGATTTATTATGCATTTTGATGTTTTTACAAGGTTATCTGATATTTTCTTTTCTTATTTTTAATTCTGATTAATTATAAATTCTAATATATTTATTTCACACTAGTATAGAAATACATTTATTCTGATTTTTTAAATATTAAAGTTATATTACATTATGTTTTATTATAAATTTAATAAACTGATTCTCCTTTTTGTAGTATTAAGATTATGATAAATTCTGATTTCTTATAAAACTTAATGAATTTATTATGATGTTTAATACTAAACTTATAAGAAATTATGATTTAGTATAAAATTTAATAAATTTATTCTGATTTTTTATATTAAATGTAGAATATGATTTATTAAAAAATTTAATAAACATTTTCTGATTTTAATAAATATTTTAAAAAATACTAACTAGTTAATATTTAATTACTTGAAAAATATTTTATGTTTAATATTATAAAGTAATTAATTTATTCTTTTGTTTTTATATTTTGTTAATTATTTTTTATAAATATTTTATTTGAAATATTAAATAGAAATTATTAATGGAATAATTTATATTAATATGCTTATTATAATAATATAATATATTAATGTACATTAGTTTACATCCTATCGACATTATCAACATCTTGTCGACATTATCGACATCCTGTCGACATAATAGGAAAAATTGCCTTTTTTTTTTGGTTATTTGGACCGATTTGGTCGACATTTCCGAAATACAGGAAATGTCGACCGAAATAATGTAATTCTTATCTTACCATCCATTTTCATGTCGGTGAGCCTCGACATCGACATATGTCGGGCGCCATTAGTGACATTTCACGACATTTGAAACCATGACTACCACTACAAAATAAGGGTTCATACCCTATATTTTTTGAATTTTATTTTCTTTCTTTTTCTTCTCACGAGTATGTTGATTTTCTATACTTTAATATGAACTTTATACTTTTCTTATGAAAATTATAAATAATTATCAAGGAAATATGGCTATGGTTCCTAGGGAACTACCCTAGGATCTATGTTTTTAACATAAAAAAATCCATCGTCTTGGTGCCCACCTAGGCGACTAGGCAACAAGGCGCCCCTTATCGCTTAGCCTCGCCTTGGCGCCTTGAAAACTATGCTAATACTATTACGAGTCTAGCAGTTTGACTCCTAGGATTTTTATGAGTTTAGAGTCTATAAATATGTATGGACGTTTTACACAAAGACAATGAAGTATATTGAGTTTTCTTCAGCTTATGCTAGCTATGGTGAATTCCCATGCCCTAGAGTGATTCTAGACACCCTTTGAGTGATTCCAGGTAGTTTTTCTCTTCTTTTTCTCTCTATTTTCTCTCTTATTCCTTCAAGAAACCATTACAGCCATCAACAACCATAAAACTTTGATTAAGAAGACCATTCAACATTCTCCAAGGGCTAGAACTAAGCTGGTCCTACATCACCTTCCTCCTTGGGTACCTTCTCTTGTGCCTTGTTTTTTGAAACCTTAATTCAGCCTCCTGCTCCTCTTGGGTTGTCCTTCCCTGTTAAAGAGATATGGAGCAAGCCCATTCCTCCTCAAGTTGGTAGTTTTTGTTGGGAAACTTTCCTAGAAAGAATCAACACAAATGACATGTTTTAAAGAAAGAGACCCAATTCTTGTTTAGTTGTAGATAGGTGTACTCTCTACGAAGTTGATGGGGAAACTGGTTACCACCTTATGGTTACTTGCTTGGTTGCTAAAACTATTTGGGAGTGGGTTTTCTCTCTTTTTGGGTGTAATTGGAATCCTCCTTTGAGGGTGCAAAGCTTGTTCTCTCCCTTTTTTTTCAGCTGGCCTAAGAAAGCATTAGGGCAGCAGTGTGTTGGCCTTTATGGGAATAGTTTTTTTTTAGACAAGGAAAGAACCATTGATAACTTATTAGAGCTGATACACTTAAGGGCGACCCACTGGCTGAAATCTTTGGAGCTATTCATAGATTATTCCATGGTTGACTTGCTGAGAAATTGGAAAGAGATAGCTAACTCTGCCTAGATTAAGAGGACTCCCAGCCCCTCTTGGACCTCTCCACCCTCTGGATTCATAAAACTGATTTTTGATGGCAGTAGCATAAGGAATCCAAGGCCTTTTGGGATTGGGGGAGTGTTCAGGAATGAGGAAGGGATTATTCTTGTCATGTTTTCAGACCCAATTGGAGAAGGTGACTCTCTTAGGGCTGAAATCTTTGTGGCTTTGGAAGGAATCCGAAGATCAAGAGAGTTGAACATCAGAAGATTGGTCCTTGAAAGTGACTCGGAGGTGGTGGTTAGATGGCTAAAGGAAGACAACAGTGGCATGTGGAGCCACAACAGTGAAAAGAAAAATTTCAAATGGCTTACTAGGGACATTGAGGTGAAGTACAGTTGGGTGAAGAGGCAGCTAGGACTATGCGGGAAAGAGAAGGTAGAGAGGAAGAGGAGATGAGAAGAGTGGGGTGGAAAGGACGAAGAAAACAACAGACAAGGAAGAGCTAGGAGGGGACGAAGGAGGAGAAGGGATATTGCTTCAGTAGAGGTGAAAGAAGGGGAGAAAGGGGTTGGGAATGAGGGAGTGGGAAATGAGGGTGTAGGAACGAAGAATCAAAGTGGGGTTTGTATCTATAAAAGGAAAAGATATAGGACTCTTCCTTTAGAAGGAAGCAGTTAGGAGAGGGAGAAAGCGGACTTAGGAGAGGGATTTGGGGAGGAAAGTGAGGATGATGTGATGATTGATGAGGTCCATGAGGTGGAGAAGAATGGCGACATTGAAAAAGTAGTAAATAAAGAAGTGGAAGTCAACAAGATTTTGGGTCTGTTCTTAGGTGGGGAGGAGTTTGTGAAGGAAGCATTCAGGTCTATGGAGTAAAGAAAGGGAGAGAAGGAAAATAAGGATAATCTAGTGGCTGATTGTAACACGAGTAATCTAATAACTCAAGAGTTGAAAGAGCTGAAAGAAGGCTATGAGAATAGATTCAAGGAAAAGGAAGAAAAATTGAGAGGGGAGGATGGGTCAGAGGTTAGAAATCTGTTGGAGAATTGGAAGAAGCAGTTGGAAATTTAAACACAATTAGAAGATGCAGAACTCAGAAAAACAGAAAGAGTCAACAACAGATAACAATGTCAAAGGGTTTTTGCAAGGATAAGAGGAGGCCTGTTTGGCATTGGGCCTAGCAAGATAGTAAGAAAACACAAAAATGGAGTCAGAAGACAACAAGAAGATTGCATTCAAAAATCGAACAAGAAGATTGAATGAATAAGAGTCTGTTAGGGGTTTAGGTTTTGATTTGGGTTCTTGTTGGGTGGTGTTTGTGGGTGCTTGGGGCTAGAAAGGGAGCTGTTTGTTTGTTTGATGATCGGGATCATTGTTTGTCTTAAATTGCTTTTGTTTCCTTTTGTAAGGGGGTTGGCTTGTGTGGGGTGTTTGCTTGGCAGGGTTTTGTTTTATTTTAGTTGGTTGTTCATTGGGTGTTTAATTTCCCTCGGGTGAATGCTCATCACCTTTCTTTGTACTTCTTTTTGTTTTAAGAAATTACTTTATCTTCAAAAAAAAAAGTTGAGTGAAGAGAACTGCTAACTCAATTGCTGATGGGTTAGCCAAGCAGGGGGTGAATAGGGATTCTTTGTTTTGGGGTAATTTCTAATTCCTCTTTCTTTGTAATATGCTGGTGGGGAGTTAAGACATTTTACCTCCCTTCCTCTTGTAATTAAAGTTTCACATCTTTAATAAAGCTTATTGTTATTAATAAAAAAAATCCCCTAATGGCCGGAAAGTGATCTACTACTGTTCCATTCACCAAGATTGAATAATGGCATCTCTCAATATATCCCAGGATCCATTTGCACAATTTCTCCCCAAAGCCAAAGCAATCCATCACTTGCATTAAGAAGGACCAATCTACCATGTCATAAGCTTTCTCCAGATCCAACTTACACGCAATCCCTTTCTTCCTTGTTCTCCTTAGATCCTCCATACATTCATCAACAATTAAAATTTGGTCCACAATCTGTCTATTTCCCACAAAAGCCCCTTGATTCTATGAGATTAGACTTGGAAGCACCTCTCTAATTCTTCGAGACAAGACCTTAGCAATAATTTTGTACAAGCCATTAACCAAACTGATTGGTCTATAATCTCTTGGATGATTTGCTCTAACTCTCTTTGGTACCAAAGCAGTAAAAGTTGAGTTCACCCCGGATTTATCACTCCCCTCTGAAAAAAAATTCATTGAGAACTTTAAGGATATCCTACTTCAGTATCTCCCAAAATCTAGGTAAAAAGCCATGGTAAAACCATCCGGTCTTGGTGCTTTTGATCTATCCATTGAGAATATTGCTTCCCTTATTTCCTCCACTTCAAATCTTCTTTCAAGCCACTCCTTAGCCTCCTCAGATAGTTTGGGCCAATCTATAAGACTTTGTTGAGGTGGTGCTTTATTCAAATCACGGTAAGCAGTTACCTGATGGTTCACTCAGTCCTTTACCTTGTTCGTATATAACCAAGACTATCTTTGTGGTGTTAGAAGAAAATCATTAGTGAAATCTGAACTTCTGATATCTGGTTTCCTTGATCATCATCATCGTTGTCGTTGCCTAAACCTTCTACTAACTATATGGGATAACACTACATGAATCCTGTCACCCATTTCCATTTTTATCAGTGTCACATCCATTGTTAAACTATGAGACCTTAAATCATTTGTTACTACACCTATTTCCATTTTGATCTGCGCCTAAAATTCACCTTCCTTATCATAGTGTTTAATGATATTTTGTTTGAGATGTTTACACTTGATTAATGTATCATGGAAATTCTCATCTAATTTGGAAATACTCACTAAAAGGAATCTTTTACAGCATTGGGCGTGTTAATCCTGAGATATATGCTTTAGCTGCTGGTACATGGAATCAACAAAGCACTACTAACACAAACTGCAAAGATTGGTTGAATTTGGAAGAATGGATGCAAAACTATGCTCATGTTCTCTGTATCAATTCCTGGCAGGTATTTTACTTACACCAAAATTTTCTCTGATATTAGCTCTTGGTTCTTGATTGGATTTTGGCCTTCAAGGAATTTGAGAATTTTGATATAGTTTACTTCAAGAGTGGTTTTGGGGAATTTGTTGATATTGTGGAGAGTTTTTTATTTTGATAAATGTTGAGATTGTGGAGAGTTTACCACCATATTGATTGTGTACCTTGTTGTAACTTGTAACCAGCTTTATTTTTCTTCTTTCTGAGGCAACTTGCCTCTTTGTCATCATATTTTTTTCCCAATAAAATTTGTCTTTCACCAAAATAATATTTAAAAAAATTACTCCAATTTTCTTTAAAATGTTACCAAGTTAATTGAAAGCATAATACTTGCTTTACTAAGGATTTGTTAATTTTATTGGTTATTTTGGGGATGTCAGGAGATATTCTTATGTTGACTAGTGACAGTATATGCCTATGCATCTAGGATTCTCATTTTGTTTCTAGAGCTGTAAATTATTTAGTTCAATAAATTTAACCTATAATAATTGCTATTGCCGTGGGGTTAAACTCATGAGCCACATTGTGAAACTTTGGGAGAGAGTAATTGGTAAGTTATGGCATAAAACAAGTATATCAAAATACTAGTTTGGTTTTATGCCAATGACATCAACATGGAAGCTATCTTACTATTGAGATGATAGATTGAAAATCTTAGGAAGAAGAGAGATCTTCATATGGTATTTATTGGTCTAGATTCTAGAGATATGATAGAGTTTCTCCTAGATAGATACTGTGGTGGGTTTTGGGAAAGAAAAAAATACCAAATAGGTACATGGACCTAATCAAGGACATCCATGAGGGTATAGCAACCAATTTCAGAACACCTGTGGGAGAGATGTCAGAATTTCCGGTTATGATGGGATTTCACCAAAGTTGAGCACTCAGTCCTTATTTATTTGCAGTCATGGATGAATTGACTGAACATATTCAGGAATCAGGATGTGGTATTAAAATAAGGACTAAAAATCATATATGCAATGCAAATTTGATAGTAATAGGAGTGAAATCTAATGCAAGACCCACCCAAACAGCAACTAATTAAGTGTTTGGAATGGGCTCTAAACATCCTGGAACCAGGCCATAAAACCTTAGGCTTGTTCTATCTTTTGATTGTCAGTAGTTGGGAAATATATTAATTATGAAAATGAATGATGTCTACAACTGAAAATGTCTTCTTGGATTAGCCAAAGCTATCCAACCCCTAAGGTGTCTTTTCTATATGACATCTGTTTTCCCAAAGAACTTGGATCCTATTTTTCTGTTGTTTTGCCATTGAACCAGCCAAGCTATTGGCTGGTCTTTGCACGCATGTTAGTTGGGAACTTTTATTAATTATGAAAATCGATGCTATGTACCAGAGGTGCTTAAATGTCTTCTTGGACTAGCCAAATCTATCCAAGTATCTATTGATAAAAAAAAATCTATTCAAGTATCCAACCCCAAACCTAAATGTGTCTTTTTTATTTGTACATCTGTTCTTCCACAGCACTTGTGCCCTATTTTCCCCTTGTTTTGTCATTGGAACCAGCCAAGCTGTTGGCTGTTCTTTGCACCCATGTGAAGGTGACAACTAGCTCTATTGATAGATGCATGATCTGAGATTTGAAGCAGTTAAGTATTGATAAACTGGGCGCCTTCCATCACTTCAATAACCTTTACTCCCTAGTGTTGCCTAGTGGGGACTGTTTTTTGCCATGGCATTTGGTGGCATTTATTTTTCCCTTCTAGTCATCTTGGCTACAGTGTGGACTCTGTGGAGTGTTGGGATTTTTAAGTTTTAGGGAAGGAAGAGGATTATGTAGACATAGAAGAGGTGTGTAAAACAAGAGTAAACAGAGGAAGAAGAAGAATTTGTTATATGTATTCATCAATCTCGTATGTATATATACAAGTTACAAATTCTATGTTAGGAAWGAAGACTAATTAAATTCCTACAAATCAGTCCTACAATCAAGGTAAATCATATCTCCCTAGTATTTACTTCCTATTCTGTAACACTCCCCCTCAAGCTAGA